GGGGCGGCGGCAGCAGCAGCAGCTGCTGCTGCAGCTTGTTGTTGATGCTGCTGCTGATTGCTCATTTCTTCCTTGACGCGCTTGGCAATATGGCTGCGGGCATGTTTTCGCAAGTGGTCCCTGCGGTAAAAGCCCTTCCCACATTCTGTACACACCTCCGTTTTTTCACCCGAGTGAATCACAAAGTGTAGGTTCAAATGCTCTTTACGTTTGAAACCCTTATGACATACTGAGCAGATGTATGGCCTGTCAGGGTTGTGACCCAGCTTATGCCTTTCAAGGTGCTCCTTGCGTTTCAGGCCTGCCCCACAGATATCACAGATGAATCTCCGCTCAATCTTGTGCCCCACCAGATGTTGCTCCAACAATTCCTTTTCAGGATATGCCATATGACACTCTGGACAACAGAACAGTGTAGTACCATCCAATGCTGTTGCAATGTGGACTTGCCCTGGTCTTGGACGTCGTGGCTTGGGAGGCTTTTTCTTGTACTTTTTCTTCTTTTTAGGTTTTGCTCCAGCAGTTCCTACCCCCTGAGCTGCAGCTAATGTTCCATCTGGACTGGTAGCAGAACTGGCATCCACAAGTTCTGGATTAGAGAGTGGAGACGATTCTATTGCAGCCTCACGCTTGATTGTTTCAGCTGAGAATTTTAAGAAGTGATGAAGGCTAAGGGGCAGGGTGGATGCAGGTATGCGTGAAAGGTAGTCAGCCACAGTTGAGCCTGGGGCTGCTATACTCTGCCATGTAGGAGGCATTGTGGCCACCGTTCCTGCTGGTGCATGTTGTGAACTATTATAATCCTCATTCCCCTGAGCATCCTTATCACCTTCAGTTTTCACAATGGCCACCTGCAAAGTGTTGTCCTTTGTTCCTGTCCCATCTTGCTGAGGTGACTTGGCAGCTGCCAGTTCCACAGCTGTCACAGCATCTCGGAGGATAAGATCCTGTGGTTGCAATGCAACAACTGTAACAGGAAATGTTTGATGATGTTGATCATGTTTGTCTCCTGCAGTTACTGTGATAGTTTGCTGCTGCGCCTGGTGAAGTGAGACTTGCGCCTGATGATTCTGTGTATTGCTGTTATTATTGTTACTGTTGCTGCTATTATTATTTGAAATATCCTGAGACTGCGGTGAGGTGTTGGAGGCTTGGGACACATGTATCTGTGGATGCTGAACCTGCAACTGCACTGTTTCTGTGCCAGCCTGCTGTTGTCCACTGTAAGCCACTGTCAAAACACCCGGGGGAAAGTGATGCAGTGACAGCGGGGAAATGTGATACTTTGGAGCACCATTGTTTGCAGTACCATTGTTAGATATTGTGGTTGCATTGGGGTTCACAACCTGAATCTGCACGGTCTGCTGTGGCTGACCTGGTTCACCAGGTTTGCCTCCTATACTGATGGGCAATGTAATGAGTGCCTGTTGTACCTGAGGATGCTGATTGTTGCCTGTACCTTGGGCTGTTGCCATTGTGAAACCATTGGGGTCAACCTGGCGAATGTACTGTACTGCTCCTTCCCCTCCACCAATAACACTCAACATTTGTCCCCCAGCATTGTGGGCAAACTTCGCTGTACCAAACTGATGAATGGTGGCTGTGGGTATGGAGCCAGGAGGAAAGTGCCCTCCAAATGTGGTGAAATTCATGGTCTGTGAGGGGGTTTTCACTGCTATTGTCAATCAGGAACCCCTGAAATGTTCATAAAAATTTAATACGGTTAATGAATTTTAGATGACATGTCTATTTTGACAACAGTGACCTCATTTATTCTTATTTCCTGACAGGTGTTGACAGTGCTGTTCCATTAATGCTATGTACATTCCATGGTTAAACAAACATGCTAGTAAAATCTTAATTACGTTACGTAACACAACTGAATAACAATGATCAAATACATCAAATTGCTTCAACTTCCGTACTAGAAGCTGAACAGTATCCTGGATCATGGAGACCTACTTACCTCAAATTAAGTGGCACTCTCTCATTTCATTGTTGTATGCTCCAATAACGTCATCTATACAGAAAGAAAATACAAATTATCACCCTTCTTCATACATTCGGCCCCATACTTCCTAGAATATACGATACCTAAATAACGGATACAACTTTTTACTCATTATGGCAATTTAATCCGTTGTCTCCAAAAATAAGGTCACAAGATGGCATTATAATCCACCACTAAATAAGACTATAAATGTTGGTTAACACATTAAATATATTCTCATACCTTTCTAAACTCTTCATTGTAGCTGTGGAATACAATATTTCGTCATAAATCCTTGCTTTGCAATAGAAACTCTACGCAGCTTATAAAAGACAACAAACACGAAAACGAAAACACCTGCTGTGCACGACGATATTGCGTTGTTTTGATATCGACCTTCCGTAGTATCGAATGTTCGATAGGTTCTCGAATTGAACTAAACCGCTGTATTCAAGACGTGGAATTTCAAAAAATTATTGATGTACACGGGGAAACTCATTTATATGAGAGTAGGAATTATTTTATTAAGAATAGTTTATTATTGTAAGCGAGAAGAATTACGGGGATGTATCTCAAAGGAACCCATTATATTCGCTGAATAGAATAACATTTTATTTTACGTTCTGTAGATTCTTCATAGGCCTAAACCAAGGATGTAAAACATTTCATAGCACAAATACAATATTTATTTCTAATACAAATATAAGTTACGTAGTTATGACAGTAATGTACAGTCGACTACAGTATTTCCGTAAAAAATAATTACACAAGAAAGCATAACCACTATTGCTTACGTATATTTATAATAGCTGAGAATTTTTGGTTGAGGTAAATCCCTCTATGGAGTAGCGGTGAGGTACAACATACTATTTCAGTGCTGGTTTAAACTTCTTTATATTGTGATTCAGACTTTTTTATAATGGGGGAGATTATTGAATAGCTAAATTCCAGTATGATAAACTCCTTTTTGATATTTATTGAGGTTAATGTTTGGCATGTGAAGCTTATATTTGTGTTTTGTACTTATATTGTGAATATTTGAGTTTATTTGAACATTTTATATGTTGTCCACTGTAAGTGATAATAATGAGAGCAAGAATTCACTGACTTATGGAAGAATATTAAAGTTCTTAAATAATTCCCTATATCTTATGTTCTGATGGTATACCACAACCTTTTTATTTTTATTGTATTTTAAATTTAAATCTGGCTAATTTTGACATCTTTCTAGGTATTTAGTGATAGATTGGGTCATAACCTAAAATAGGCCTAGATCTTCCAATGACTATGGGTATCTTACCACTGTCCACTTTGTACCTATTATTGTTGGCAATAAGTTGCACAAGCTTCTCCTTGCCCCTTGAATTCAGGTGCAATCCATATCTGGTGTGTTCTTAGCCAAAGATGATAAATCAGTTGATGTAATGTGTGATCTGTCTGCACTCCAAAGTGCACTCTGTTGTCTAGTATTCACACTCTTGAGCCACTTACTCATGAAGATATGTAAACTAATTACGTTAGTAAGTTTACCTGAAGTACAGAATGTCTTAATTCTCAGACTGATATTTCCAATATAGTGTCTGCAGCAGTAGATGGTGCACTGGAAGAGATGCATATTTATTCAATATCAGGCTATGTTTGCCAATCACATGAATTTGTATCATCTCTAGGTAGAAACAGAGGAGCATATGTAATTTGAAATTATATCTCAGCTGTAAATTATTTAGACTTATTTGTGATAAATAACTGATTATTTCTCAGTATGATTGCAAATTATGAGCCATTTGCCACTATGAAAAGATAGCATTATGTCAGACTAGTTATTCTTCAGCAGTCTAACCTGTTAGAGTTGCTTGTATCAAGAGGGAAAAAATGAAGAATAAAACCTCAAATTTACAAGTGTTAAACCTCTTAAGTTCTAAAAAGTACTTATATTTAATGCCTGTTGCTTAAAAGGCAGTGAAATTGGACATTCCTTTCTTCCAAAAGTACATCGGTATAAATTAAAATTATGCAGCAAATAGACCTTATGTTAAGATGACTACCCAAAGTTTCCTTATATTTTGTTACTATTTCATTGTTCTCTTTCATTTCTTCCATATGCTACCATACTTATATGCCTGCTGGTGACAATTTTTGCAGCTATTGTATACACTGTCCCTTCTGATTTTCTGCCAGTCTGTCAATGCCCAGGACAGATATTTCATTTTCTATTCCATTCACATACGTTCTGGTTTATAAATATAACAACTGGTAGGCTCTGAAGAAGCATCTTTCCTAAATATTATATTTAAATGTGCCTATCATTATCATATCTTCCCTTAGGACTCTTTTTTAAGTATGAATGATTAGAAACCACCACATAACAGAGATGAAAACATGTTAGAAGCATCGCCAATAGGAAATTATTTTATTAACGCTGAAAATTCAATGCAAGTTCAGTGTCTGTCTGGCTCCAAATAATTATTATAATTTATGCAGCTCACATATCACCACTATGAAACATGATATGCCAACAGGAAGCAGTATAAGAACAGACAGAATGAGAGATTCAGATATTATTCAAAGTCAGTTTATAGTAATGTAATTTGGATGAATACATTTCAGTTATCTTCAGTTGTATATTTTTATTGACTAATTTGTGTCATTAATACAATTTTTAATCTTATTCTTGCTACACATGTAACATTAAAATAAATAACAAACATGCTTTCTAGAATATAATAAATATCACCCCATGTATTAATCATCTCATGAAATGCCATGTAATTTAAAAAATGTACAGCAAAGTATTTAATTAAAGCAATCAGTTCAATTGGTAATAAGATCCTTTGTGCATGGGCATTAAAATATTTCAGCTTGGCATGATATAACAATAATGGAAAAGTGCATTCTGGAGCGCGCACACACACACACAGAAAAGAGACTGGAACTGTTTGTGATTAAATTTACAAACTTGCTAAATTATAGTTTTTCTATTCAATTCATGTTTAGATTATTAATTTTAGATAAAATAACAATGAAACAAAGATTTTATTATCTTAATTAAACAAATAACTTTCAATTGAAGCTTTATAAATTCTGTTTTGTGAAGATCATATTGAGGTAATACAAATAGCAGAATGCAATTTAATTAATGGGCTAGTATACTAGCTTCATGTGCATATAGTCATAAGATCAATTCCCAATCAAGTCAGAATATTTTATTGCATGCAGTTCTAAATGAGTTACAGAATGTTCTTCTTATTACTATTATTTGTTTCCTTCTTGAGAACTTATTTTAGTGCAGACTTTGCCTATGTTACAAGTGTTGGATATAATGTCAAAGATTCATAGAGTTACCATGATGTTAATATATCTCATACAGAATTTGTGGGTATGTTTATGGTCTACTGTATTATTTCTGTCCAAATTTCACAGAGCCACAAAGTTCATTAGTCACTTTTTTATCAAACCAAACGCAATATTCAGATTTCATGTTTTTACCATATTATAAATCAGTTGCATATATTTTAAGATGTTACAATCCATAATTTCAGGACCCATATATTAGGTGGGATTAGTGTTACTCACACCTCACAAGTTCAAGTGTCTGCCCTGTCATTGCTGACTTTTGGAAAATAGAAAGTAAGAGGTGGATATGGCCAATGTTGACACAACGTTCACATAAAATTTAATCATAATCCATCCAGTGGTTCATGAGTTTAAGTATATGGACAAACAGATGAATAGACATCATCAACCATATGTGTATTCATGTTATTCACATCTTGCAAAGAATGCATAATAACCAAGTTTTCTACTGTTGTACAAGCAAATCTTTATTTAGCAACAAATATGAATAAATCCATTAATTTCCCTTAAAATTACTACATAGCACACATCTGCTGATTTATGCAATGATATCTAAAACCACTAATTAATAAGAGAGCCACTTGAACAAGTGGAACAAACATGATCAATAGAGAGTGTCACCATTACGATGTAACCGCTCCATGTACAAAGCAAACAATAACTTGTTACTTTCATAGTAATATGGGTTGTCTGATGCACTGAGGGCTGGATTATATTGAGATAAGATATGGTTTGTCACCCAACCACTGGGGTGCAAACCTGGGCTGCTGCCACTAGCTTCTGCAGACTGCTGAGGTCGGTGAGAAATTTCACTGTTATCACTGCAAGTAGACTGTACTGCAACATGACAGCCATTTCCATTCCTGTAACTCTGATGGCAGAGTAATTCTAGGCATTCTCCTGCTGCATCCATGCATCCCCAGTTATCAGAGCTTGGTTCAAAAATGTCATCCTGAAAACAAAACTAAGAATTACTATGCCAAAGTTTTGTATTTTTCAAATATCTGTTACCATACATCATTGTATGACCCCAACTGTGTAAGTGGTGCTAATATAGAGCCCACCTCACAAGTTCATTCATCTGTCATATTGGTATTACTGATTGTGGGAAATGACTGTACACCCCAGCAGTAAAATGTACACACCAAAATTTATTCAGAACCATCCAGCAGTTCTTAAGTTGAAATATACAGACATGGATGGACAGACAGACATGGTCAACCCTATGTGTGTTCATTTTTTACACACTGTGCAAAGAATGCATAATAATGAAAAATGAATGTTACATCATCTGTATAGTGACTGGCTATGGACTGGACAACCAAGGTTTGATTTGCAACGGGGGCAGAGGATTTTTCCTCTAGCCTCCGCATCCAGACTGGCTCTGGGGCCTACCTAGCCTCTTATCCAACAGGTACCGAGTACCAGGGTCTTTTCCTGGGGGTAAAGCATGGCTGGGGCATGACACTAACCACTCACCCCTATTTATTGGCAAGGTTAAGAAAGAGTAGGAGCTATACCTCCTCTTCCCCCAAGTACCTACATGATGTATAGTGGGACAGCTTTACTTTTTTATATTACAGCATACGTTAACACTACAGAACAGAAACTAAGGAAAAGCATTATGATTTTTTTAATCAGCAAGTGCAGTGTGAAAGGAAAATATTAATATATTGTAACAACAACAAAAAACAGAAGAAATTTAAGTTTTACTCTGACACTTCACAGCAGTATTGACACTGAGAAAGCTAGCATAAACATAATTATGATAACACAAAATTTGGAAATAATACTTCTATGGAACAGTGAAATCAAAGACTGTACTGGGTCAATTTCAAGCACTCATGTAGGTCTACATCCAAAATATCAAGCAGAACATACAAAAACAAAAATTAACTAGAGATATGCATTGATCAATGTTTCCTAATTATGGATAATATATACATATGTAACAATGAATAGGGTACAATATGCAGTGTGTGGGGTCAGTGATTGAATCATCCTTTATATTTTAGGATATATCTTCTGCACTATTCACTGTAAAGTTTATATAAGCAGTCCTCTTTAGGATGTGTAAACCCTTAGGTTGGTACATTTTGTGATGTAAGCAATGTACCAACAACTGTGTTACTATGTGTGTCAGATCATAGTTTGCTTTTGTTCATCACTATTCACCATTCCATCACTTGCGTAAAACTGAAGACGCGTCCGCCTTGTTCTACCTTCATATCATAAACTACTGTACATCTGTAGATGACAGCACAACTTCCTTTGGTGGGGAAGTAAAGCCGGCGGTCCCATGTTGTAGATTTACAGCAAGTAAAAGAACCTTATGAGCATGATACGAGATGTTTCATCAGCAAAAATTTAGCGACCATTTCTCACCCAAGTCTCCTGTTTCACTGCTAGATACTTCTGGCAGTCGAATCAGGATTGAGTACAAAGTTAGTGGTAATACACCTGCCACTTCTATAGCATATATACCTGTTTTGTGACTGAATGTTTAAGATGTTGATAACCAAGACTGCTGCAGCAATTTCCATTATTGATATGTAAATTATTGATTCTCTTAGAAAGTGGCATGAAATCGCAGCATTCTTCTTCGCAGTTACTGCTGCGAACTCGTTTCCTGAAATACATAAGAAGTAATACTTCGTAAAAGTTTGAAAATTAAATCTACTCTACTCTAGGTAATTGAAAGGTTTACAGTTGGGTAAACTAAATTGATCGACTTCATTCATGTGCAACCCGACGTTTCATATTTCAGAATATTTATTCTGAAACAGTTAATTTCGTATGAACTAAGTTCACAAATTAGCAGCCGCTGTGAATAAATAATAATATTATAGGTGTTTTAAATGTCCATGATCATGCCTATTTTCGTACAGTCATATAGTGGCACCATACAGATTGGTTATATGACCTTACCTGCTCCCTAATAATGCTTGAGTCATATTACCGTATTTCAAAATAAACTATGTGTGCAAAAACCACCTTATAATCATTTTTCACTTCAAATTTATTTTTGTGCACGTTTTTCGTAAGTCGGAGCGATACCGGCACTTGTTTTAGACCTGTCTTAACAGCTACCGCTTCTCGTGTACATATTCTGTACTAAAAGTATTCATTCCGTAGTTACGACTCAGTCAGCACAAAACAAAAGCGTTTATGCCAAGTTGCAAAATTTTTATTGCTTGTTTTGAATGACATAACAATAATCACAAGTAGCCATCATTAGATTTTGTACTGTTTGAAATTCGGTCTTTAAGGGGCCACGTTACCGAACAGAGATTAATACAACTCAACACTCATGACCCCAACAACTACATGTACAATAATAACAGTCCTTACAAAAGCCAAATATGAGATATGAATGAGGTTCTCGCAGGAAAATAACGATGATAACCTTCTGGGTTGCAGTGCCATGGAGGTGGATATCGACTTTTCAGAGTAAGATACTGTCTGAACCCTGAAGGTTGGGGGGGGGGGGGGGGGGGGATGTTTGCCCGAATGATCCGTACCTCTGGGCAGCGGCCCATCATATTGATAAATATGAACCTGTCGACAGACGGGCCAGTTGAGCCTGGGAATTTCCAGTTATTGGTATACAGTGGAACCTCGATGCAACACGAGTTTCGGGGGACAGCCTCAGTACCCGCGTTATATCAGAAGTATGTAGAACATATGTAATCGTATTGGGGGGAGATAATCACAGACTCGGTATAACGAGGCGCAGTTTTTCGAGGTTCCACTGTATTTGTTAATTTTACGAGATATACCCTCCTTCTCCTTCTTTTCCGTTTGCACGTGTGACAGTTGTTGCCACCACGAACCAACGTTGGTTATCCCGCTTCGCATTCGTGAGGTATGGAGTTTAAATCCTGTCCCGATCACAGGCTATCATGACTCAAGATTTTTCTGTAGTGCTGGTTCCTACGCGCAGCTCTTTTTTCCCGGCAAGCTATGGAAGTTCCAGGGAGCTCGCGGTTTCCCCAACGGAAACAGGAATAAATAACTGACGTTTTTATATATTTTTGGCGATCATAGCAGTGTAGCCTGTATTTTCAACACGTGTTTCTTTCTGCAACTGCAAGTGATTCAGAGTCGCTAAAACACACTTTCATATTAATGTAGGTCTGTTGCTCAAACTCTGCAGCTTACTGGCTAGGTAACTGTGAATGGTGAATTGGAAAGGAGGCGGAAAAAGACGGTCGTGGCCAGTTGTAGCGAAATTACCGTTGATTTTTCAGTGTTGACGCCATTTTTTTTTACTCTTTGTCTAGCATATTCTCGCGTTTCCGTGAAGTTAAAAATCGGAATGGTGAACTCGGGGGGGGGGCTCTCGCGAGCAATTGCGGTGCTGCGCTCTTCTAGATGGCATGTCATAATTAGGAGTGCTGATGGTGGAATGAAGAAAGAGGGGTTATGTAGCAATCGACTCTATGTAGTATGAGCTACTGCCAGCATCGTTAAATAAACCATAAATGAATAAATAAATAAATAGAGGAAATCTCTTCAAATCTTATATGGACAAATAATCTGAACCTAGTGTGACGGATCTTTGTCTCACGTTTTTTGGCAAGAATAATGGAACGTATTGTCACTGTTTTGTGACTGTGACAAATCAACTTATTGATTCCCGTGCCATTTCGTGCTTTCGTCTGCCTCGTCTTCAGCTGTTATGAGTTAGGCCATCTGGCCTGTTCTCATTCAGAAGTAACCTCTGAAAGAGTAAATCTCTTTGACATTTCGTAGGACGCCTTGGAACGGTTGATCACCCATTGAATGGTCTGTACTTAACACAAGACAACTCAAAAAACAGGGAATATAATCTCAGTGCCTCGGGCGAGATTCGAACCTGTGACCTCACAGGCCTTCGATCGCATGGCCGCTATGATTAGCAGTTAATTTTCTATAGTGAATGAATTTTTTCTAACGTCAACCTGAACAGCACAATGTGTCAAGATCATAAATTCGAATCACACAGTGGCGTGTGACAACTTAGTGCCCCACATTAGAGAGGAACTGAAGAAATCCATGATAGGATGTTTGTCAGGATCGCCCCCTCCCTCGAAGGTTCGAAACAAATTCCCTCCAGATTAGAAGCCACTGCAGAGCGAGTTCTGCTTGTTAATCGAACAGGGAGGAGAATTCATGCGAAATTGAATCTCCGTCGTTTTCTAACGTTGAATACAATGATGCCGTCATGACGTAGGCTACTTCCGCGCTCTGTGTACGAGTATATATTGACCGAGGATCTCTCGTGTCTCACCGAGATTGAAGCATCGACTAGACATCTCATGTCTGGGGATTCCACCGTCGCCATCTCTGCTTCAAGAATGTTCTATAGCTAACTGGGGGCAGATGAAAAGCTCGGCTTTTTCTTGAGAACCTACGAAATTCTCCGCATTTTATGGAATTATTACACTTTTCACAAATATCACTGTTGGATCATATTCTGAGCCAAATGGATCCAGTCCTCATCCTCACACCCTGTTTCTTTAAGATCCGTTTTAACAGTAGCTTTCCATCTGTGCCTAAGCTCGCAAATGGTCTTTTCCTTTCAGGGTTTCCGACTATAATTTCATTTTCATTTCCCATCTCTCATATGATGATAAAATTAAAAGCATCAGAAAATAGGTTCTACAGAGACTTGTGGAATTCCGTTTCTTTGTGACATCCTCCAGATATTCATCATCTTGGGATATTTGCCAGTTGGTTGTCTGCTAAAGAGAGGGAATAAAGTATCGTTGCCAATTTGCCATTGACAGTTAACATTGTCTAATGTGAGATTTTATTTTTTTTCACGACGATGAAGATGCCGATGTTGATATTTTGGGTTTTAACGCCGTGTAGATGTCATTGTTTCGGAGAAACGTACTCTCTTTATCATCCTGAAGTCTGCACAGCTTTAGAACCAAGAAGACCACTATCAACTTTGTCGAACATTGTTGGAACTTACCACATCGCATTTTTAAGACGAAAGCCAAATTATGCGACTTTGTGCGATGATCCCAGCGCTTTTCCTGAGAATGTGCGTGAACTGAACGACAGAGAGACGAAGTTGGCTGCATGAGTCAGTGAAAAGTTTTGCCTTACGGCCATATTCGCACGACAAATGGCGTAACGTCACGTAACTCAGCTGCTAAGCCTGAGTTCGTGTCAGTTCTTGATGTTTATGTTGGTTAGTTCTTGATCCATTCAGTGACACTTCATCAGACAGTATATTTACTGGCTACAAGTCAAAGTTCCAGGGTTCTATTCCCGGCAGGGACTTTTCTCTTCGCTACCAGCTGCAAGGCCCACATAGCATCCTATCCATTGGGTATCAGTGGCTCTTTTCGGGGGATAAGACGACCAGAGCGTGAAACTGAAAATTTACTTCCATCTTGTGCGGAGATTAAGATTATGACACGAGCTTCGGCTTCAAGGCGTTAACCAGGCCTCGAAATTGTTTCATTGACCAGATGCACGTGATCTACCGCACACCGACCATATGTGAGTCCCCCGCTGACAGTGTGTATTGCGGTCTTCTGGGTTGTTCCCAACGCTTCGGTGGAACGTATCGCCTCTACCTTCGGGATGGAATTCTCCAAAACAGTTACACGGCGCTCCACTGAAGATTGTTTAGTTGTCAGTGTCTCGTTATTGGTCATCCCTGAAAAGAAGGCTACTTGGTGGTTCTAAATTTGGACTGGAATGAAAAGTCCTACTTTTTGCGATGTTCGTTCGTCTCTTGAGCGAGTTGGCCGGGAAGTGAAGGGGCTGTGCTGAAGACGATGAAAACTTTCGCTCGTACTTGGGAAGTTCTAATTGGGGCTTCCTTATAAGGTAATTAGAACGATGCCCTCACTAGTGCCGCTTTGCTGCTTAATCCTATATGCATGCTGCAGTCTAATGTACGTTAATTACTCCCATTGTGAGGAACATCTCAGTACGCTTCCGTAGTGTTCAAGAATTTAACGTCCCCGAACATCAAATGCCGTTACCAGAAGTTACACTGGGTTACCGGCTAAATTTTAAGGAAGTTTTTCGTGTTATTTCACAGTTTCTGTAGGTGAATTCAAGGAGAGTTCCTTCTACTGTGAAGTGCACCTTGTCCACTCATAATTCCTTTTCATATTCATAGTTTATTCGACACCTCGTGACCGCTCTTGTTGAAGTAGCAACGTAAAATTGTATAATTTCAAGACTGGTTATATCGACCGTAAAATGTTCAGAAATTGCTGTCGCCGGTCGGATCGAACCTTCATATCCGACATGTTCCCTCTTTAATATTGCTACATGCAACTGCCTCCAGTTAGAGGAGACGCTCTTAATAACAGAAAAATTCAATCAAAATCTGAATTCAACGACATTACCTTAATATGTTGGTTATTTGGAGAGCGGCAATAAAATAACCTAACCTCATTCAGTCGGTCCTTGGGATTGTTATTATGTGCCATTCGTAATTAATTAATCGCGTATTTACAGCCATATTTGTTATAATGTGAATCATTCATTATATGAGATCAGATCAGTCTTCTAAGTTTCTGAAGGCAATTGCTTTCTCTCTCTTTAAGTTTTAACCTTTCATCAGCTTCCGTTAAATTGGCTGGCACGCCTTACTTCTGTGCTGTTGTAAACATCGAGATGTGGTTAAATTTTCGGGTTCCGTATAACTCGGGACACTTCTTGACTGCATGACTATGGACTTATCAACAAGGACTCTGCTTCGTGTAATTAGTTGGTTAATAGATACTGTATTTTAAGTTCCATAACTTCAGAACTTTTATAAACGCGCTTGAGAACTCCACTTTGTGGGGACACGTAGTATGGAACAAGTATTCATTGACATACATCAGCCTTATGCACTTACTCATATCTGAACGAGATGTCCTTATATGGTAAAGTGCTGAAGCCAGGTGATGGAGAGACAACACTGCGGTCAGCGGCCTTGTTTCAGAGAATGGTTATATAAAACACAGGGGTCACTTCACAGTGCAGTAGGCCTGCACGAGGTCACTACACGCTACCCTTCATTCAGGTGACATAACATACAACACGGTCAACATCATACCCGTTGTGTGCAGGTCAGAATTTTGTTCTAAATGTTCGGAAAAACGTCAAATCGAATTCAAGCAGATGTCATGTAATATTCGTTATTTAACACTGCGAGATTTGGTTTGCCTGTGTGTCTCTGTTAGGCGATATTAGCGTGGTATGAATGAATGCTATATTTCGCCTGAGAGATGAGGCATAAAAGATTTATTCGAATATCATTACCTCGACTGGGAGCCATGAGATGTTAACGAATAGTTCAATCAAATCAGCATGAACAAGAATGGTTGTGGTCATGCTTACCCGCAGGACTACTGGAAGACACTGGATGTAACTTACAGTTCTTGCTGTGGTAATTATTCTGTGTCATCGTCGGGTAATCTTTCTGCACGTTGTTAGTTTGAATGTTGGCTTCCCCAACCGGAAAAATGTTACCAGGTATACAGAGACACTTGCATATTTGAATTGGATCGGTGGAGGGCAGTTTCACGACCAGTCTCGTCTTCCCGGGGGAAAGAGCTCGCTGTCCTATTGGACAAGAGGCTAGGTGCATCCCAGATTCATGCTGACGAGGTGGATAAATACTCTGTCCGTACCTGGAATCAAACCACGGCTATGCAGCCACAATCCATATTTTGGGGAATTATTTTGATGAGGAGGATGGTATGTAGTAACGAGAAACGCTCAAAAATATCGATGTCTTACTTGGTATTCGAATCCGCGTCCCCAGAGTTCGGTTATCTTGCTCGTCGTAAACGGCGCTAAGTGCAACATATTTCTTCTTTAGTGCTGTGATCGAAGTTAACCCAACCAACTGGGAATTAGGCCGAACGAATGTGTGAGTCATGATCTCGGCTAGATTTGCGGTCATGGCGAACTCTGTCGTCGATTGGCCTTGTTGATTCTGATATGAGCGGAGATATTTCATGGTAAGGCCAAATGCGTGCCCCAACGGATTGACGGACGAATAAGTTACACAGACCAGATGGATTCAAACCCGTCTCTCCGCTCTGTGTACTCAAAATAAGAGCCCTGAAATTTGAGCTTGGTGTGGTCACAGGGCACACTTAAAATATGTAAAAGGCAAAGACAATGAATTTTGCATTTTGGTTATCAACCACCTCGGCACGAAATGATGTTGTGGTCAGATTCATGATCCGCCCGTTTTAACTTCGCTGAAGTAACTTCGGTATTCGTTGATCAGGATGCTGGGTGGACCCAATAGTCGATTTCATAAAGGATACAGGAGTCGATGTTCTCTTTACCCGCCATTCTATGTGTTGCTGTCGTATTTGCCAGCAGTATATGTCGACAGCGTTGCAGAGGCTCGGTTGAATATCCCAGGCAGGACGTAGTAAACTTGAACTGATTGTCGTATACCCTGACCTCCTGGAGAAAGCGACTGGCTTGTAGAGGGAGAGATACTAGCGATTTACAAGCACAGATGATGCCCATATTAAGTAGTAAGGTTGCACTGTGCTTTTTACCAACACTAATTTGGTCTTGTCCTATAAGACTTATATATCACCGCCTCCGGGGCCATGTGTGAGGGAAGAGGGGAGCAAAACCCAACATGGCGATCAAGAAGAAACATCTCGCCAATAAAGGGTACCATTATGTTCCCTTCGTGTTCCATACAAGTGTCTTTTTTTAAAGGAATTGGATGCGCTAATTGTGTCATTAATTGACCCATATTTGTAGTCGTCTCCATTTTAATGTAGAGTAACTTACAAAATGTAACGCGTGACTTATCGGCGATTAGACCCTCAAAATTATAGCCAAATTGTAGGACAATTTTTTTTGAAATCTTGAAGGACCAGTCTTTAAGCGAAATCCCTTTTAAAACCGGTAATCGAACAAAGGTCGTACAACCCAGGAGAAGAGACCACTTTGAAGACACAGACGTGAATGGACGGTTGATACTAAAACCTTGGAGATGAATGTGTTTAGCAGGTGGGAAATGGATTGGCTCAGGGAAGAGTCCAGTAAACGACTTTTGTTAATAAGGTAATGAACTCCAAAGTTGTATAAAATTATTAATTTCTTGGTGTGTTGACTGGATTTTTCGAGGAAGACTGTGCTATACCATGAAGTTAGCGTACTGGTTACTAATAATTTAGTATGGTCCTAATACGTAAGCTTCTAAATGAGTGCCATTTTCGTTTCAAAGACTCTGATGACGTGTATATTAATATTCTTAATTCATTGTGTGAGTCAGGATAGAGATCCTTGAGGACCAATTAGCGATTATCCTTAGGTTCTAATTGTCTTCCATAAATACTAAATGTTTCCTGTGTCTGAGAATGGGCTTCTGAACAGTCATCTAGTCCTTTTAGGAAATACTAAGTTCCGGTAAACAATTGAAGACAAATATGGTCATAACTTGGTCTCTGTCAGATTCACATTCCTGTCTTCAAAACGTTTATGGCTGTGTTTATCATGCCATCGCGTACGATGACAGTATCTACTGGTAAATTGTTACTGGTATTTCTATAATCTGCCAGTAATTAAATACAGTTATGATAATGCACGATTGTAGTTATAGACGAACATTTTCGAATTTAGTAATATGTCACGTGCATTAAAATGAAAGGAATTACGTATCTATTACGAAACACACGCACATGCAGGCCACTTCATGCAGAACACGTGCATACAGTAGAAAAGTGGTCGTCTTTATGTACGAAGTTTTACGAAAGAAGACGTTCTTTCAGTCATGTTATGGCGTTTGTTTGCTCACGACGACCATATGAGAGCAACTATGCACCTTCTTTACAGAGCCTGAGGACTAGAGGACAACTAAGTTTGCAACAAAGGCAGAAAAATTAACAACTTTTAAACATATTATTATCGTTTACTGAATTCGGTAATTGCGTTCTCTTTCAACAGAGCAGCATCTGCAAACCAAATATGGCATAGAGATATTATCACGTGTTATCACAGCCATCAATTTTAAGCTCGATAACTGATTAGGTCTAAACGTTTCTTATTGTAATGGCATTACCTGCTTATCTTAAATAGATTACAGTTCTCATTCTGGGAAGGTTTGGAAATATTACGACGATAAAGTCCAGCAAAAACGCATTACTTAAGATGAAATTTCGTAAATCAATATGAAATTATGAACAACTTACAGAGTGAAACATCACGGTTATAGCATATGGTTATTTAGATATTTTTGCGGTAATAACGTTAAATCCGCCACTAACAGACATTCGTTGTCCTTTTAATTTCATCCTACTCAAAGATTACGTGACTTATGTGACATTTTTTTCATTTTTATTCTCGGTTAATCGGTTCATTTTGATAAAAGGCAAGTAGATAGTTTTCTGACTGAACATAAATATATCGAACTTAACTTTTGAACATGTAGATATGAAATCATTAAGTGTGCTGATAATGCATTATAATCGCTTTCATAAATTGAATTGAATTATGAAACGACCAACACAAAAGTTTGGCGAACTTTACGGTGATTTTAGAAACTATGAAGAAAATATATTGTCTCATCGCACAATACATCATTGCATCAACCAGTAATCAGCAAATTTATCTTAGCGATCACGTATTAAGAAGATAATGCCTCGAGTCCGTAACTAGGAGATTTCAATCCTGGGATTAACGGATGCTTATTAAGCAAATCCAAGCAACATATTCTTGAAAAGCTACTAGCTGCTCAGCTGGTCAAGAAACCCATTGCCTTTTGTAGAATCTGAAGATGCATAACCGTGTTCACAAGAGCCCGAGTCAGATGAATCCGATACACACCCTCATTACTATTCCATAAAATACATTTTAATATTATTCTCCTATATGCGCCCAGATCTTCCGAGTGGTTTTCTACTTTTAGGCTTTCGAACAAAAATGTTATTCTTACTCGCCCGCCTCATCCTCTTTGATTTGACAATCATATTTGATCAAACGTACCCTTTGTCCAGTTTTACCTCCTGCGCTCTCACTGAATCTCACATATGTTTTGATGGTTCCCTTGATATTGTCTGCAAAATCCCTGACGTCCAGGGACTCTTGACATTCCAAGTCTCGTGTCCACTCTCACTACTTAGGTCGTTCCAAAGAATTCATCAAAGTCCCAGGAGCTACGAACCATTTCATTAGCATACTTCTTCTTTAGGGTGGTTTTTCTTTGTTGCTTGTAAAAGAGATTCAGATTTCTATTCTTAACGTTGGTTGTTCTAGATTAATACTTTTTAGGTACGTACTGAATATATTATTTAAAATAACCAATGACATCCGCCCTCTTAGACGTAACAACAGGTTCGTAAGACTGATGTAACCCTGTCACCAGTGCATCCTTAATGTCACATCATCAGCCGTCTTCACCAAGACAGGCATCCGTTAAGGACTTTTAGACCGCTGGATGCAAGAAACGCGGAGAACTCGAGGTGGGAACAGAAACAGGGACACTCCACTGGCACGTGAGGCTGATAGAAATGCGTCCGCACCTCTTTTGTGACACCGTTAATAAGAAAATCACACATTTACTGTCTTCAGATGAAACTGGAGGCATCTGTACAGTCTCTGACAGAACCAGTCGCCGTGGTTGATGGCATTAACGAGGCGGAATATAACAATACAATGTTACGTCTCAAAGATCAATCTCTGATAAAGAACTTTTATTGATTTAGCTTTTATGGTGGAAACGCTTATGTGCCCTAAAAATTAAGGATTTGTGTTGATATTGAAATTATATAACAAGTCATTTATAGTTTTTGTCAGTCTAACTATAAGCATTGATCAGTTTGAGGAATGTAATCGGTCAGTGGTTTTTCCCATAACGTTTTGCTCTATCAAATACTGTGCTGCCCTCCCACTCAAAGTTTAGTCCTAATGTTTCATTTATTATTCTTGGGTTGTCCTTCAGAACCATCTGTATGCGTCTTGGGTTTAGGAAGAGGAAGGCCGACTGTGTTGTCCAAAATACAAAACAATTTGTGTCCATGACGCACTACGGTATGGCATTATAATTGTGGGAGTATATCCAGTCAGAATGGAAGAATCTAAAAATACCAAATTTGACGTGCAACGTGTGAAGAGAGAATTGAGTTGGTATGGACCGCCATGAAGAATGTAACGAAAGTGTCAAGGTTTGTGACAAAGGCAGTTGTGCTCAATGTCCTCCGTTGTCTGATATTTATATAATGTGCACGATGTTCCTGGAGTGGGTTCTACTCCAGCCTTCAGACTGTTGGTTATAGCTTTATTGTTACTTATTTCTCGATGGTGCAGTGGTTAAGACCTTATCTACGACATGACGTTTTATTATTTCCAAGACAGTACCTTTCAGCGAGGGGGAAGGCCAGACGGAAACTTTTCATGAATAAGTTACTGGATGATAAACTAAGAAAGAAAGTTTAATTTCGGCATTTGGACGACTATTTAATCGTAATCTTGTCTTTTAGTTATAAGAATATGCTACTCACTTAGCTAAAATAATGTTTTCCAAGTTTTGAAAATCCGCGCAGTAACTGGCAGAGACAGGCTCTCGACTTCTCTCCTTCAAGCCTTACGATTATTGAGATATCATCTGGTTATCATCTAAACTTTCGATTAGAGATTAAAATGAGATTTGTTGTATAATCAAGATCTAACGAGTTCGTGTAAGAAAAAGAATGACTGCGATAACATATCTGCACTTCGGTAGAACTTTCAAGAAGAAATAATTTCAGAGAATTGTGTTATCTGCATTTGAGAACTTTGAAGATGAACACTAAAAAAATTTAAATTAATTTGTTCTAATTCGTCCAAACTCTGAGCCTTTTAATTAAAATAGTTTATAAAATGATCCCAGAACGAGACCAATTCGAACCACTAGAGTAAATTAAATTTTAAATAAAATTTAAATAAAAGGACAACGTGGATATTTCAGAAGTATGATCGGTAGTGACTACGCTATTTCTGTTAGTATGAGGATAATGTCAGCTGACTGTTGAAAGATACGGATAATGCCTTAACAGCATGGCAATTATCTTTTAAGCAGTCTAAACCGTCTTTTGTGAAACACTTTAAGCTTC